CGCTACAGGCCTTCCCTGTTGAGCGGCTTTGACTCCCACCAACGCCGCGATTTTTTTTAACAACTAGGTCAAATAAGAATAGTGTTTTCTCTACAGAGGTAGTGAGAAATAGGTTGGCGAAAAATGACAGTCAGACGTGTGCATTATCAGTCGCGAGAGGACCACGTCCAAAGTGTGAGAGCGCGATAATCGTCCCAGTGAGGTCGTGTAAGCGTCAGCCTTAAAGATCATTGGCCGCAGTGGATTGGGGAAGGCAGACACTGGTGCGTACGCACTTGCTAGCAGCCGCGAAAGGTCACTACAATGCAAGGCTGGATGATTTGGCGTGACCAACGTGATTATCCTCTTGACCTTATTTACTCTGCAACACTAGCTCAGTGATCTCGACTGTCGTATCTTAGGGAATAGACGTACAGAGGGAGTTGAAACCAAAGGATAGCATGAAATCGTTTTGCTGGAGGCATTTTCATTCAGGTTTCTCCAAAAGGGTTTTCGGTAAACTGACTGTACTGACAGTCAGAAATCTGAGACTCCCAGACAGCCATCTTGCTAGTCCGTCAATTGGCGTTTGTCCTTGTTCGGGCGATCACATCTTCTTCTCAATTTTTTCTTGGGGCCCCTCTTGAACGATTCTGTCGGGATGGACCATTTTTGTGCGTTGTGAGAAAAACGGAAACAACTGTATTTTGTGCCAATCAAATAGGCGATACGCCACGCATGCCAGAACGCAATACTATGAACAAGGACTGCTAACGTTCAAACTCTGTCAATAACCTCCTCTATAAACTGACATCCAGGTAACAGAGTGGTCCAATTGAACTACTTCGGATCCACATTAATGCCAAGTCGATCAACTCACCTCCACTTAACCTAATGGTATCGTTCTAATTTAACACACCGCATCGTAGTAAACCTTCCGGGTTCGGTTTGGTCTGATAAAACAGCTTTGTAAGTACCACAACGGAAATCCTTGCAGGACACAGAGAACAGACCTTAGTAATGTTTACACAATGCTCGCATACTCCATTGTATGATCCACCGAAAGTTTATAGCAGTTTTTTGGCTACCTGGAAATCAATTGTAGTGTGAGTGGAGAACCATGTGTAGTAGTCTCCTGGTACACCTGTACTGGGAGCTGGGTTTTGTTTCACACACGTACACGAACTGTTTAGCCTCGCAAATCATGTGGTCAAAGTCTGACCACTGGCCATATGTGCAGGAAGTGCGACAGAGGAGGAAATGCCACAGGCATTTGGAAATTCCATCGCAATATGAATTGATTTTGGTGCCAGTCAGTGCTGTTGATCCACTTCGTGCAGCGACACATGAAGGTTTCCATTCGCGAAGCTGGTATAGAACAGAAGTTGCATGAATAAAATTACCAACAAAGACTAGGGAGATTAGGATGGCCATTTCTGACTTATTAGCCGTCGTCAGCTAATCATGTCTAACTCAAGCGTTGCCACAGAAATTTGTGTCCCGCCCGAGTTTTTAACTCGTGACCTTGTTATTTAGAAATCCAGTGCTCTAGTCATTGCACCAGGGACTCGCTGTCCTGTCAAATCAACGACAAAAATGCATATTACTCAAGTAGCTATTTTTATACCGTAAACTATCTGGAAAGCTGACATCCTATTGTGAGTGTAATGACTTGAGCATAGGCTACACTATATTCAGTATCACAACCTTACGCAAAGCCGATTAGCGATTAAGTATCAACTTTTCGCAAAGTTCGGCCTTTTGCACAAATTCGGAGCCGTACTCTATATAGTGGCA